TCTCTAGGTTGGTCAAAATAGTGACTCCGATGCGGGAAAGAAATATAATTTATTTTAATTACATTGTTTTCCTGGGGTGGACTGTGTCTATCTCACTGATTACCACTGTAGCATATGTGTTCACATGTTTCACAGAGGCTATTTTATGTGTTTTGTTCATCTCTTTTGCTTTTGTGATTTTGATTTACTTTTATTCCACCTGCTGGTCATCCATCGTCAGCAATTAAGCCAGGCAAGAATTAATCACTGAGAAATTATTTACGGAGAATAGACCTAATACTAGGCAGAATTAATCATAAAAGTTTTTCCTCAGGGTTCAACTGTGAGCTGAATTGTTACACTTTCCATAAAGCTGTGTGTTGTTCAGTTCCTTTTTCGAAGCTATATATCACCCCAGTACAATTCTGTTTCAATGACTCACAGTTTCCTAGGACTCTGGTGGTAACAGTGTTATTCCAATAGCCAGAGATGCCTTGGTCAAATCCTTCTTCCCACATTTTAATTCAGTTATTATCAGATATTTTTCCACTAGTTGATTCATGTTTAATTTACTATCTCCATATAAGAAAAGAAAACTTGATATAGATGTAAATATATCATGCTAACATGTAGAATGTAGAAATTGAGGTTAAGTTCATCTCAGCTGTGAATCTCAATTAATCTTCTTTACATGTCCATTGCCACCTCTCTGGATCAGGTTCTTATTATATTGTTTGGATTATTACAATATGATCTTAACCAACTGGTATGTCTATCTTAGTTTTGCTTGATCCTAGTTCTTCCCCTACTGTAATGGGAAGGGTGAGGGGCTGGAGGTTGAATCAATTTCCAATGGCCAACGACTTAGTCAATCATGATTATGTAATGAAGCCTCCATAAAAACCCAAAATGACAGCTAGTCGGCTTTTTTTTCCTGAGAGCTTCCACATTGGGGAACCAGAATGTGCCACTGTGGAGGCCCCAAGCTCCGCAAGGACAGAAGCTCCTTTGTTCAGGACCTCAGCCTATGCACCTTTTCATCTGGCTGTTTATTTGTATCCTTCAATATCCTTTGTCATAAATCTGTAATCCAGTGAGTGAACAGGTTTTCTGGAGTTCTGTGAGCCATTCTAGCAAATTAATCGAACTCAAGGAGTGGGTCCTGGGAACCTCTGATTTATAGCCAATCTAGCTTGTGACTGTCATGTGAATTGGAGGGCGGTCTTGTGAGACTGAACCCTTTACCTGTGGAATCTGATTCTGTCTCCAGGCAGACAGTGTGAGAATTGAGTTGAATTCTTGGACACCTTGCTAGTGTCAGAGAACTGCTTGTTGGTGTGGGGAAGCCTACACACACACACACACACGCACGCACGCGCACACACACACATTGGAATTGGGTCCAGGAACCCTTTGCAATAGGAAACACTGCAAACTAGAGTCCACTGCTGCTGTTGGGGTGAAGAATTTTGGCTGGGGAACACTGACAAGAACCAAAAGCAGAGCGGTAGGAACAAGTCCCTTGTCTTCCTCCAGCCCTCCTCCAGAACCTTTAGTGTTCCCTAATGACAGAGCCTAACAGGTAGCCACTTAGAAAAGTGGAAATGGAATTTGTAGAATCCCAGCCCCAGCATCACAAAGAGAGTATAGAAGGTTGGCTATAAGCAGAAAGACATAGCTTCCCCACAAGCATGGCATGGAAGAACACAGGTTCTATCAATAATTAAGATAATTCTCAAAATGAAGAGTAAAGGTGAGGGACTTGCCCTCTCAGATTTTAAAACATAACAAAAAAAAAGTTATAAAAAGAGTTTGGAGTTAACATGAGATTAGAAAAATAGATCAAGGGGATAGAATATATAGCCCAGAGACAATCCTTATACATGGGCAATCTTGATATTATGATAGAGGTGGCCTCATATATTAATCAGGAAATGATTTTCATTATCCCACTGCATTGGAAACACCAGATTGTTTTATTGTTTTATAGAAAAGAATATACTAGGTAAAACCTAGGTATTTTAAAACATGAAAGGTAAGATTACAAAGCTTATGAAAGAAAATGTAGGGGAGTATCTTGGTGACATGTGATTGAGAAAGGATTGTTTAAACCAGCCCTCAAAACACAAACCATATGGCTGAAACTTGGATTTCGGTTATGTGAGGTCACATAGACATAATTAAGAAATGAGAGGGAGAAGATATTTGCAACATCTAAAACTGACAAGAAATAAACATTATTCCAGAATGTACAAGAAACTCCAATAAATCAAGGGAAGAAAAGAGAAAATCTAATTAAAAATGGGCAATACATATGAATAAGTCTTTTGTAGGAGGGGAAACTGAAATGGAAAAATATATTGGTGATGTCTTTTAAAACTTATGTGAAGGTTAACAGGAATGTATTTCATGAGCTATTCCACTCCCCTGCAATAAAGAAAAAAAATAAACAATGTCCCCTAACTTTCAATAATTCTTTCAGGCTTAAAATTAAAGATTACATTGCAGGTTTTTAAACTGCAGAAAGTTTTGACATGATTTATTAACTTTTTGCATCAAATCAAGCAAAAATATAGTTAAATTCCCTCACCACCTTGCTTCAGTTGGCTTAATCAACTCAAAGCTCTTTATTGACTTTAGTTTCCTGATCCAGTCAAAATAAGGCCTTTCAGGGCACACCATCTATTTGAAGCTTTTGTAGGTCCAAAGTACTGTATTTTCGTCGTTCTTAATAATATTTTAATTTCACATTTGTCCTAAGAAAAGAGATGTTTGTAAGTGTGTGCATGGCTGTGTGTGTGTGACACTTGATATCCAACAAATTGACCAAAGTTATAAAATTGGATAATATGGAGTGTTGGTGAGGATGTGGAGAAGTAAGACTCTTCACGCATTGCTGATGGAACCTTAAACTGGCACAGCATTTCTGGAGATTGGTGAAATTGAATACGCATTGACACTTTGAACCCCTCCCCCGATCCCACTCCTGGGTATATGAGACATGAACAGGGATATTTATCACAGCACTGCCTATGACAGCAGGGAGTTAAAGGCATTGCAGTTGTCCATCACCAGGGAAACAGGTTAGTGTGCTCTGGACGATGCAAGTGAGGAGTGCCCTGCATCAGTCAGAAGTAATAAACCAGAGGTACACCGTGCGGCCACATGGATGAGTATTACAAACAGTACTAAGTAAAAATAAGTAAGAAAAAATGACCTCTATGGTGCAAAGCATTCATATAGATCAAGAAAGAGAACAATCTATATAGCACAAAAGAATAATCTCTATTTTATATTTATGCAAGATTCAGTTACACACACTAAATGGGGATATGTATCTATTCCTATCTATCGCATCTATTTTTATATATCTCTGTATAAAATGATATATATAGTATATATATTTATTCACAGATACATACATTTCCAAAAATACGTATAACCACATTGGAGCCATAATCAATGGGAGAGGGAAATGGGAGTGGGATGGAGTATGATGGGGGAAAAATAATAAAATAAGATAAAACAAGAAACAGACCAAAGCTGGAAAGTATGCCCCCCCAAATGACAAGTATGATAACACAAAGCTCTCTACTTGAGGAGAAGGAGGAGAAGAGAAGAGAAGAGAGGAGAAGAGCTACACTTCTGCTCAAAATCTTTGGCTCCAGAGTGTGAACCGGATAAAGTCTATACTTTTTAGTCAAGTGTTAAACGCCTTCTGGCATCTGTTCCAAACTTAATTTTCTATCTTTTCTTGCCTCACTGTTCACTTCATCCCACTAAAGTGGACTGCTCACTGCTCTGAGTAGTACCTAGTCCTTCTTGGAGAGTATTGCTCACAGTAGCTGCCATGTGTTAAATGTCTATTGTGTGCCTGGAATTGAACTAGGAGCTTTAACATGCAGATGTCATTGACTCTCCAAACATTCCAAGGGGGGAGGCATCGCTGCCCCAGTTCTAAAGATTCTAAGGTAAATGGAAGCTCTGAGAGCCTGGTTGCACTCAGGAGGCTTGTATTATTCCTGCCAACTAGAACACCGTACTATCCCCTTACTTTCCGCTATTTCCGCATGTCACGATCATATTTATCTTCCAAATCCTTCACAAGTGCTAACTCTGCTGTGAAGCTTTTCCTGATGACTCCAAGCAGATGTGCTTTCTCCTTTTGTGAACTGCCATGTTATTTGTTACATAACTGCCACGACCTCGCCACACTCCACCTAATATAATTTTGCATGGACTTGACTTTTAGATTGTAAACTCTCAAGGACAGAAATTGTATCTGGTTCATTTTCCTTTTGAGGCTTTACACATTTTTTTGTGGGGGAGGGTGTCAAATTTAAGTGAAGAGTGGTTTGGAATCTGGACATATGTCAATGGAGGCATTCAGTCTCAGAGTCTATGAAGGCAGGGGGCGTGGTTACCCAGTGATCATGCACCCAGGAAACTCTGGGAAGTTGGGTCAGCAGTTTAGGGGCTGTCTGTGGCTATAACTTCAGGTGCACCAGGAAGAATCCACAGCAAGAATCCACATGACCTCATCAGCTGCCTGATACTGGATATTTTACTAATAGACTTATGTTTCAATATTAGAACTCGGGTTCAAAATCCCATCACCCCTGACAGAGAGAACACAAGGCTTTACTACTGAGGTGACAATGACTGATATCAGATCTTCCTGAAAGTCAGGTTTTGAAAGAGGGTGAATGTGTTTCCATGTGTGGGTGCACTAGGATGAAATGGGGCAAACTATGGAGAGGAGAGAAAAGGGAGGGGGAAATAGGATTTCTGTCGGCAAAATATACATACTTCACTATCTTGTAGAGGAGGGTTGAGATTTGGGCAAGCAATGTAGAGCCTTCTGTAGAAGGAGAATCATAGGCCTAGACTAGCAATCCAGAGGTCCACTCCTCTCTTTAAGAAGTCATTTGATTAATTTTGGAGTTTTAGAGGGATCAATAAATACCATTCCTGTCTTTTCTCATCTGAATTCAGAACCAAGTGAGAAGTGGACACACAGGAATAGGTAGAGGTTGAAATTACTTGTTTTATTACTGATAAAAGCTGAATTGAAGACTATCCCTTAGATATGTGACAGCTAACACCTTCTGCCCCTGAGTTAGACACATGTGTCCCTCCCTCTGAGTCGCTGGCACATGTAGACACTAGTAGGCTCCCTCAGAGGGGCAGAGCCCATCCCTCTGAATGTACTATACGGTGGTGGAAAATGCATGTGTCCTGAAGGCAGGCTGGCTTCCAAAGAAAAGGCAGAAGCTGCCGGGCCAAATGTTTCCATTCATTCTTCCAAATTGACCAATCAGATACACCATTCCTGTTTATCTAGGACAGATGAAGCCGTGGGGAGAGGCCAGGAAAATTCCTCCACTTGGACACATGAAAGGAGAGGAAAGGAAGATGCCTACTCCCAAACCCACACCCAACAATTAATATCAGTTAAACACAGACTCCTCCATTTCTTCTTCTCTTCTACTTTCCACCACATTTTTTCTACATGACATGGTAGTGACTTCACCAGCTGAGGATCTGATACATTATTATTATTGACATAAGACACAATTTTTTCTCCTAAGTAGTTTATAATTTTTAACAATGATAAAATGGAAAAATACGGTTATAACAAACAGAGCTATTCTTTAGAACCTTACTGAACATCTGTGCTAGTAATCAATTTATTGCCTCTCAGCTCTAATTTCACCCTCCATTTTCTGCTCTGTAACAATGGGCCCTGAAAATATTTCTCCCTTGCCAGTTGGCATGATGTCAAGCTTTGTCAGAAGAGAGTCCCAGAAGGACACTGGAGGAGAAAGGAGTTTTTCTCTTCCCGGCAGCAGGGTGCTCCTCCAGGCAGGTCCCGGTAGTGGGTACATTTCTGCAGCCCCAGGCTCCAGCAGCAGCCAGTGACCAGCAGCACATGGAACTCCTCTGCAGACATCTTCCCAGAAGGCTTCGCAGCAGAGCACTACCAGCCTGGCGATCCCTTGTGTACGGCTTTCCCCACACGTCCTCAGGAAACACAGCTGCAGGGGCCTTCTCTGCCATCCAGAGAACCTTGCTGTGCTCTCTCCAGTGAGGTCTGGATCCCTGGTGGGGACCTCTTCCAGATCTGGCCCTTCCTTGGATTCTGTATCTCAGCCCCAGGGCAGTGGTCGTTCCCGTAACTGCTCTTTCTCTTTACTCCTTATTAGTCAATCCGCTATTTCTTCAACCTCTGGTTACAGTCAATAATTCTTTATATTGGACTTTATATTAAACTTTGCCTATTCAAATTACGCTGTGGTTTCTGTCTCCGGATTGGACCCTGACCGATATAACTATTAAATAGTAATTTTAACGCTATGTTCTGGAGCATGATAATTAAGAAGAAAAACATCACCTTTAATATTTGATAAGCAGCTCATTTTTCACAATTGTTTCTGAACTCTGAGAAAGACAATTCAAAGCAATCTTTTCCATATGTATTTTATGTTAAGCCATTTAAGTCTATAACAATAAAACATTTCTCCAAACTCTCAAAAGGTTTTGTGTATGAGATGAAAATATGATTTGGTAGTGTCACCAATTTGCAAATGCTTCACTAAAAGTGTTTCTGAAAGATGCTAAAGCTATGTCTTTAAAACCAGTGATAGGGATTTAATTTTAATCTGCTTGAAAAATTGCCTAAATAGCTAAAAATGGCTTATCTCAAATGCTTCTCACCTTGAGAATCTTTGCCTATTTGTGGCTAAAAACCTCAGCAGAAGCATAGGTAGCACTGCTGTACGTGGTAAGTGAGACTCTGCAGAACTTCCAAATGTTATCATGATAGTCTGAGTAGTGCCTGAGTAACTTTCTTGTTGGCTGGAAGTCTGTGAAATTCAGTTTCATTCTCAGTAAATTTGGTTCAAAGAAAGCTTAGAATTATCATGAATGATTTTCTAGATTTCATGGATATGTCCTCAAATGCTATTATAGGTTCCAAAAAAGAACACATATTTGAACGTTATTTTTATTGACGGAACAAACCAAGACCGGAATTTGATGTAACGCTCAAGTGGTAGCAAGTCCAGAGGTCTGGATCCTAGCCTTAACTCTGCAACAAACTGGTTGTATGACCTTTGACTGTTATTGGAACCTCTCCAGGCCTCATTTACATACACATGTAAAGCAAAGGGACAGATTGACCAGATTTCTGCCAGCGTGCAAGTTCAATGACTGAAGAGAAAAGCTTTCGCTAAGTTCTTCACATGCCTCCAATTTAAACTCTATTCTTTCCACTCCTATTTTCTCATCATTCTTTGACTCTCCCACAGCTAGTTTTCAAACACATTGTTGACACCACACACTGAAAGGTCACTAATGGGTTTTGGTCTACAGCGAGTGACATGACCATCTTTCCCCTGCTTCTCCTGATTTCTCTCTGTGACTGTAGTAATCACTGCTCTTTTATGTATGATTATCACTAAAGCTTACTGTCTGCAGGCATATAACTTCTGCTTTATATCCTTTACTTTTCATGTGCGTAGTCTCATCTCCCCAAATCAAAGTCCAACATCTATTTTCCTTCATGTTCCTAAGCAGAATGCTATCCACATAGCATGTACTTTATATGTTGATTGCTACATACCCTTCTACTAAAGATGGATAAAGATAAGAGTGATAAACAAATCTTTATCTTTCTTAGATGTTTTCCCTAAGGAAAAGTAGAATCAGAAAAAAAGATTGGCAATAGTTTTTCCCCAATAATTTATTTATGTTTTAATTCTAAAAAATTGAAAAATATAGAAGTGAATGAAGTAGAAAAAATTCTGTGCTCTTCCCTATCCTGTTCCCTAGGATTTTAACAGTTCAGTGCTAATCTCAGACTCTTTCTCTCGATAGATATGCAGATAGATAGAAAGATATCTCTACTGTTTCCTGCAACATCTGGAAAAGCACTCAGGTAGACTCCCTTACTAGAAAGAGAAAGACAAATCTTGTACCACAATTCAGTTAATAATGCACACAGAATACGAAACAAAGAGGTGCGAAGCAGTTCTTCGTTTTCCCAAGCTATGGCCCACAATGGACATTTGGAAGGCTGCCTCACTCCAGCTTCCTTCCCACTCCTCTCCCTCCTACAGATGCCCCTCCGTCTCTCCCAGCCTGAGGAGGCCTCACTCTTCCTGAGATATTCTCAAGGCTGTGAGAATGGCTCCCTCCTTGGAAGATCCCTGGGAGGTCCTTCTTGGGAATGAGGTGTAGGTCTTGTCAATGCTTCATAATGGGACAGCTATTACACACCTTTCTCTTCCTGATATTAACCATCTTTTGTAGCATAACTTTGAAGTGTCATCATCCTAACGAATTCTTTTTTCTTGCTGTACCAAAGATTTTCTCTTTACCAAGTAAGGAGGGGAAAGAAAAATAGGAGATGAAGAGAAATAAAAGCTCTATCTATCTATCCATCTATCTATCTATCTATCATCTATCTATCTACTGTAATACTAAATATATGATTCTACAATAATTCACTATTATGTGACATGGATACATATGTATAAAATTATGCATATATGTATATGTATAAATACATGTTAGCATAAATGGGATTATTCTAAGCTATATATATAATTTATATATATACTAAACATATTGTTTTACAACTTGCTTTTCTCACTTAATAAATATTCCTGAATAATTATTATGGATATTTTACCATGCCACTATACACAGAACTACTTAATTCTTTTTAAAAGCTATATGTACAACATATCTTATTCAATCAACCCTTCATTAGGTATGCTTAGCTTATTTTTCATATTTGCTCTTATACTTAATGCTGCAATGCTTTTTCCTGGAATAGACATGTATCATTGCACATATGTGTAAATATTTTTAGGATAAACATCTAGAGGTAGAATTTTTGGGTTAAGTGATATGATCACAAACTTTTAGTTGCTACTGCACACTTGCCCTGCAAACACGGTTGTACCAATTCATATTCTCTTCAATAGCTTGTGAGAATCCTGTCTCATCATGCTCTTACCAATTCAGGATATTTTCAATGTTTTCTAAAAATATTTACCAATAGGATAGGCGAAAAATAGCATCTTCATGTTTGAAGTTGCACATCTATAACTTCATGTATTTATTAACCATTTGCATTTCTAATTCTTTGAACTGCCTGTGTCTTTTGTCATTTTTTTCTACTGTCCAGTCCATCGACTATTGAAACCATTTTTATAGTAGGGATAATCCTTTATCAGATATATTGATGCAAATGCACAAATTTATTTTGTCTTTTGACTTTGCTTATGATGATTCTTTTCAAGTTTTTATTTATTTATTTTAAAAAACTTTGGGATAGTGTAGTTCAAGAATATTTTCTTTTGGGTTATAGCAGTATAGTACGGTAGGAGAGACTTTCCTCTCTCTAATATATAAAAATGTTCATCCATGTTTTCTTCCTTTTATACCTGTGATATTTTTGATCAACCTGGAAATTATTTTGGAGAAAGATGTTCTCTTTCTCCAAATCCTCTCTTTTTTTCTGATTGGCTAACCAGTGTTTGCCACACCATTTAAAAAATAATGTTTTTTCCTTACCACACTAAAATGGATGTTTTCATTTATGATTTCTTGCTAGAGATAACAAGTGCATTATTCATTTTTACAAGTTCATATACCCATCCTAACCAGACTAGCTCTGTCTTCACCACTGCCTTCTGGAAAATTTATGGTCCCTGAGCTTGAGGATAGTCTAGACTCAGTCTTCTTTCATAAACCAATGTTTTTTTTTTGAACCCTGGTTCTATGAAGGCAATAGAGACACTGAGTATTAGAAGCTTTGGAAATCCAAGATGGTTATAAAACTTGAGGTCAGCAATATTATCAGAAAAAATTATTTTTGTGCATTATGCAGGTTAGAAACATATGATACATACTTTAATGCTGTGAGAAAATATTCTCGTGTAATCATTTTTCTAAAAGGTGAATATATTCTCATTTGGCCAGAGAGCTATTTTCAATTGGAAATATTTGGAGTACCAAGTAGGATAACCATGTATTACATTAACAATTAACAGTATTGTGATGGTTGCCATTTCAATTACTTAGCCATGGAGACAAAATTGTTCTTATTTGTGAAATAGAAATGAGGGCGTGGTATAGGTTGATCAGCCTGAGAAGTCAGTGTATAATTTATTTTATTCACATATTCTGGAATGTTATTTTGTAAATAGTATTTGGTCTGGAACATTGTGATTTTTTTTTTTTTTTTTTTTGAGGAGATCAACCCTGTGCTAACATCTGCCAATCCTCCTCTATTTTTGCTGAGGAAGACTGGCCCTGGGCTAACATCCATGCCCATCTTCCTCCACTTTATATGGGACGCCGCCACGGCATGGCTTGCCAAGGGGTGCATCGGTGCACGCCTGGGATCGGAACCGGTGAACCCTGGGCTGGTGCAGCGGAGCACACGCACTTAACCACTTGCGCCACCGGGCCGGCCCCTGGAATATTGGGATTTTAAAAGAAAAATCTTTCCTTTTTATTCTACATTACTTAATTTATCTTGTCCTCCTGTCATTCTTAAATATTATGAAACCTTAGTTATATAATTTTTAAATTCTGATAATTACTGGAGCAAATCTAAGGACAGGAGCAGCAAAATAAGAGCAAAAAGAAATTGGAAGAGTTTTGGGAACAATAGTATATAATAATAAGACGTTTGGAGTAGAGAGTTATTCTTTTGGTTGGAAACAACCATAACTTCCACTATCATCTCATTGAAAAATGGCAACTATCTCTTATTGAAACACTAAGATATCTCACTGAAGTTCAACATATGGAAAACCCTTCCCATATCTTTTATCTTTCTGAGTTTGCTACCACCATTCATTCTCAACTCTGCTAGTTCAGACGTGGCGTCAGATCCTACCAACTGTATTATTCAGAATCTTTCCTCTTAACCCCCCTTTTTTTCCCCTTCTGATCTACTCCAACTTCCCTGACAGCTTCATTTTCTCTCAGCAATAGCTTGCCAGCTTTTCCTTTGCCTCTTGACTTGCTTCTGTCTAGTCCTCCCCAAAGCCAACAGACTTTTACTTATTCTAAATTGCTAATTGCTTAAAAATCTTTCTGTGGCTCACCAAGGATCTCAATATAAAATCCAAACTTGTTTGCAGGACAAATAAAGCTCTGTATAACCTGATCTCTCTCTGCTTTCCTGACTCATCTCATTTTTTGCTGTTTTCTCCCTCACACACTCTGTTTCTACCATTGTGGATGACTTGCAGTTCCCTAACATCCACCCTCTCTCATGGGTCTATCGAGACTTTGCAGTCAGTCTTCAAAAACTCATTTAATTCATCATTTCCTCCAGAAAGTTCTCTCTCATTTTACTCCCTTGTTCTGCATTTGGTAAGTGACAAACACTTCAAGACTTTTAAGGCTTATATTGCAAGTGTTTACTTGTCTGTTATAGTGTCAGATCTTGAGGGAAGGAACCATACCCATTTCATCTTTGAATTCCTGGCATCCAGAGTACTGTTTGTATAAATTAGATACTCATCATGTTGGTTGAAAGAACACCTTGAATTTGCTTAGAGAATTACTGCATAGGTAAGTCTCAGTTCCAAGCTTACCTCTATTCACAAACCGTAATGCAAGTGAATGTTTGAGTGCTTCAATAAGAGACAGTAGCTCATTTTCAATAAGATAATAGTGGAGGTGGGGGTTGTTTCTGGTGAAAAGAATGATTTCTGTACATATGTTCTGTTCTGTAACATATGTAAAAGTGTTGTTTCAACTGAAATTAACAACATAAAAAAGTGGAACACATTTTACATTTTGTCAGACAAGTAAATTGTGTGTTATGATAACATTAAGAAGTAATGAAGAGGCATCAGTGTTTAAGACTGTGAACTTTAGGGGCCAGCCCTGGTGGCCTAGTGGTTAAGTTTGGTGTGCTCTGCTTTGGAGCCTGGGTTGAGTTCCCAGGTGCATACCACACCACTCATCTGTCAGTGGCCCTTCTATGGCAGCGGCTCACATACAAAAAGAGGAAGATTGGCGTATATTCCTCAGCAAAAAAAAAAAAGACTGAACTTTAGAGCTGGATGTCTCAGTTCATATCTTGTATCTGACAATTACTGGATGTGTGAACTTGGGCAAGTTATTCAATTTCTCTAAGACTTATATATAAAGCCTTCAAATGATTGTTGAGAAAATGCAGAGATAACACACGTAAAAAAATTAATCCAATAATTGGCACATAGTCTTGGCTTAATAAATATTAGCTGTAAATACTCTATTACTACTAAAGCTTTTGAAGTATCTTAGTCACTCAGAAACTATAAAAGTCAGTTCTCATTCACTTAACAAACTGTGAAAAACAGTCCTGGAAAACTTTGCTTTGGCTACATCTTCAGGAACAATCAGTAGTTAATTAAATTTGAAACTGTTAGAGGACAGTGAACAATATAGTAGAGGAGAATGCAGTGAAAAGCTGGTCAGAAAAATGTAAGACAACAAAAAGGTAATTTTACAAAACAGTCTGGGAGGAGATGAGAGTTGAAGACATGATGATATTTACTAATAGAATTTTTGATAAAACACTATACCTGATTCCCCTACGTTTAATGTTTTGAAGAATAATGTTTACTCTTTTCATTTTTTTCCAGCTCTGTTACTCTGTTTTATAATTTTCAAATTATTTTTGATCTCCTCATTCTACCTTGGTATACTCCCCAACACAAATACACATCAGAGGAGACAGACCATAATTACGTTGTTACATATTTTCAGCCCCCCAATACTGCTTTATTTCTCCTTATTTGTGTTGCTGTTCATGTAAATGGACAATTATTTGGTTGCAGTGGTAAAAAACATGTGCAATACTTGGTTACCACATCCATGATTAACATACTTGCAATTGCTATGAAAATCCCAGAAGTTCTGGAAAAGAAATGTTATTCCTCTCAAAAATCAAAAATTAAAGTTTTATATATAAAATAAGAGCTACTAAAATTAAAAGGCTTCAAATTGATCTCTTTTACAACTGTAAAAACTACTGTAGTTTCTTAATCCAGAAGAATTGAAGGAATATTAAGTTATTTAAATGATAGATAGGACTTAACATTTTTACAATCTTTACTTAAAAAGAAGATTTTTCTTACCTTACACAGAATCTGGTTGGAAAAGTCACACTGACCAATCTATGTGTGATTTTTATACATTTCTTCCAAAACATTACTTAGTAATTCCAAACAAAACTAAAATACACCTTTTCATGAAACTTGACAAACTAATCTGAAAATATATGAGAAAAAAGTTGTGGTCCAAAATGTACATGAAACGAATATAATTGTCTGAGACCTTCTTGAAGAAGAAGAAGGTTGGAGGTGGGTGAGATTTGCCCTACTAGATATCAAGACTTATGATCAAGTTATATTAATTAAGAGAGTATGGCATTGATTTGGAGATTGATAGAGGCCAATGGAACAGAACGGATAGCCCAGACACAGACATATATAAAAAGTTGATTTGACAGAGATGGCTTTGTAGACAGTGAGAAAGCATGAACTAGACAGTAAATGGTGCCAAGACAATTAGTTACCTAAATGGAAAACAATAAAATTGAATCCCTACCTCACACCATACATAAAAGACATGTATTTTCTTTTAGAAGAAAATATAGAAGAATAGCTTTATAACCACAAGATAGGGAAAGTGTAGGAAGCACAAACCATCATTTAAGAAATTAAGAAATTTGACTACATGAGTATTAAAACTTTTATTTAGTAAAAGATAGCAGAATTAAGATAAAAAGATAATTCGCAGCCTGGGAGAAGCTATTTGCAACATATGTGTAGTACCCAGGATATATGAAGAACTTCTACAAATTAAAAAAATGTATACAACTTAATAGAAAAAAAGGCAGAAAATATTAGCAGCAATTCATAGACGATAAACCAGGAGAGGAAATACACACACACAAAAGATACTCTTACTAGTGGTCAGTAATTTTAATGAAAATTAAAATATACATCAGATTGATAAAATTTAAAAAGTGTGAAGGAGGATGTGAAGCAATTATAATTTTATAACTCCTTGTGGAAGTATAAATTGATTCAACCACTGTGAAAAGCAATTTGGTAATAGATGGTAAACTGAAGATGTCAGTAATCCACAAAAGCCTGCAAATCCAATCATGGTGCTTAACCTAAATAAAAGCTTACTCATGAACTCAGGGGAAATAAGCAAAAATCTTCAGGGTAGTACTGTTTATAATAGAGAAAAAAAAAAGGAACAAACTATAAGTCCATCAATGAACCAGAACTATACATAATAACATATTGTTGAGCAAAAAATGCAAGTTATAAAAGAAAACTACAGTATATTACCATTTAAATTTCAAACACACGAAAAAATATATCGTTGAAGTTTACATGCATATGTAGAAGTATAAAGAAATGCACAAAAATGATAAGTATGTAATTCAAGACAATAGTTGCCAACTAATGGAGGAAAAAGGGGAATGTGATAGAGAGGCTTAAATGATCCTAATATTTTAATTCTTAAACTGAATGGCTAATATATAGATGTTCATAATTATAAGCTTTATACCTTCTCATGTGTCTTAAATATTTTATAGAAAATTTAAAAATAAAGAAGTGCTGATGTCAGCACAACAGTGATGTAAGATATTCTTCCCCTTTGTTTCCCTTTTTCAACAACAAATTAGATAGCCATCCATGAACAAAAGTGCCTTTGTGGGATCCAGCACCATGCTCCAAGGGACCCAGGAGGAAGCTTGCCCAACTGTGCATCTGGTTATAGGCAGACAGACCTTGGCACAGGCTGTGGAACCAGCAGAGCCAGTGAACCTGCCCCCACCCCTCTTGCCATAGACAGGAGAAAATGTGAAGTGCTGACCTGGGAAGGTACCCATGGACAAGAGAGAACTGACAGAAGTCTGACCTCCTTGAGATGAGATTCCAGCATACCATTGGAGAAAATAAATACGAGTTTGGATGCAGAAGAGAGTGTAAGAGGAACTTGACCAATGCTACTTGCCAGTCTCTAAGGCAACACTGTATGGGGCTGAACTATGAGGCAGAGGCAACTTCTCCGGCAGGGGAAAAGAAGAGTGAGTGAGTGGCCAGCTCCCCCAGGAGTGTGGGACACAGCCATGGAAAACCATTTCTCTCCAGCAGCATCTGGAGTACTGAGGTTGGATCTCCATTACTTGGAGGAGGGAGGAGATCTGAAAGAGGCAGATAAGAATATCAAAGGACATTAAAGGGATGTGGTTCCTGCTGACTGTGCCCAGAGCTCCAGCAGAAAGTCTGCCCACAAACCTCTGGGAATATCGCACCTGAGGGTCTCCCTACTGGGTTTGCTGGCACCCTCACTGCCCTGGGTGCTAAATTCATACCTCCTTCCTACTCTGCAGCTCCAGTAGACAGGGAATGAGCTTAGAAAACAGGCCAGGGTCTGTGGGCAAGAGAGAAACCACAAACTTGAGCACAGTGCCACCTTCTGGAAAACAAAAGACAGGTTTCCAGCAGCCACCTGGTGAGTTGTAAAAATCAAAGTCATAAAAACATAAAAATTATGCTACAAGAGGAGCAAAAAAGTGGAGCAGGTGTACACATACAAAGGTGGAAAAAAACCCAGATAATAACAGCACCAACAAACAGAATACCCCATCTGAAGGCAACTAGCAAAGATTTAAGGAGGTATCTCTTCTTTCAAATGTGAAAGCAGCAACTCAAAACTGCAAGGAATATGAAAAATCAAGGGAATAAATCATCATCAAAAGATAATAATAATCCCCCACTAACCAAGCTCAAAGGCACAGAATTTTGTGATCTAGCTGATATAGAATTCAAATTAGCTGTTTTAAAGAAACTCAATGAGCTACAAGAAAACTCAGCAAGAAAATTCAATGTAATCACAAAAACGGACATGATCAAATGAGATATTTAACAAAGAGATAGAATCATAAAGAACCAAACAGAAACCCTGAAGCTGAAGAATTCAATGAATGAAAAGAAAATTCAATACAGAGCATCTGCAGTAGTGTAGAGCAAATGAAAGACAAAATAAGTGAGTTAGAGGACAGGAATTTTGAAATAACCTAGCAAGAGAAAATTAAAAAAAAAAGAAAAAAAGTGAAAAAAGCCTACATGATCTATGGTAAAGCATTAACAGAACAAATGTTAGAATAACCGGGATTCCAGAAGGAGAGGAGAGAGGGAGAGGGGCATAAAGTTTATTTAAAGAAATAATGGCTGACAACTTCCCAAACCTGGGGATAGATTTGGACATCCAAGTTCACAAAGCTAATAGATCACTCTGTTAACTCAATGCAAAAGACCTTCTCCAAGACACATTATGATGAAACTGTCAAAAATTAAAGGTAAAGAAAATCCTAAAAGCAGCCGGGCAAAAAAAAGATTGTATTCTACAAAGGAACTCCCATTGGGCTATCAGTGGATTTCTCAGCAGAAACCCTACAGACCAGGAGAGAGTAGAATGACGTTTAAAGTATTGAAAGAAAAAAACTGCCAGCCAAGAGTACACAATCTGGCAAAGTTATTTTCAGATATGAAGGAGAAATAAAGGTTTTCCCAGACAAACAAAAACTGAGGGAGTTTATCACCACTAGATCTGCCTTGCAAGAAACACTGAAAGGAGTTCTTTAAGCTGCAATGAAAAGACACTAATCAGTGATGTGAAAACATATGAAAGTATACAACACAATCAGACTTAGAAAACTCTAATTCTGTAATAGGACGGTGTGTTAACCACTAAATTGTAGTATAAAGGTTAAAGGAAAAGAGTATTAAAAATAATTACCATATTATATAATTTGTTAACAAATACACGGTATAAAGAGAGATGAGTAATAACGTAAAAAATATAAAAGGGGGAATAAAAGAGTGAAACTTTTGTTTTAAATGGACTGTTTTATGTATGAGATGTCTTATGTAAGCCTCATATTAACAACAAAGCAAAAACCTAGAGAATATTTGCAAAAGATAAAGAAAGAGGAAATAGAGCATACCACCAGAAAAAAATCACCAATTTACAAAGGTAGGCAGAAACAGAGGGGAAAAGAAACAATGAAAACACAAAACAACCAGAAAGTAATTAATAAGATGGCATTTGTAAGTCCTTACATATCAATAATAACTCTAAATGTAAATGGATTGAATTCTCCAATCAAAAGACACAGTGGCTGGATGGATAAAAAAATAAGACCCAACTATATACTGTTTACAAGAGACTCACTTCAGCTTTAAGGACAGATATAGGCTCCTGTGAAGGCATGGAAAAAGCTATTCCATGCAAGTGGAAAAAAAGAAAGCAGCTATACTTATATCAGACAAATAGACTTTAAGCCAAAAATAGTAACAAGAGACAAAGAAGATCATTATATAATGATAAAGGGGTCAATTCATCAAGTAGATACAATAGTTGTAAATATATAAACACCCAACATTGGAACACCTCAATATATTAAGCAAATAGTAACAGATCAGAAGGGAGAAGACAACACTACAATATCAGTAGGGAACTTCAATACCCTGCTTTCAGCAATGGATAGAGCACCCAGCCAGGAAATCAATAAGGAAATGGACTGGAACCATACATTAGACCAAATGGACCTAACAGACACGTATAGAACAATATATCCAACAGCAGCAAAATACACATTCTTCTCAAGTGTATGTGGAACATTCTCCAGGACACTATATAATAGGATACAAAACAAATCTTAGCAAATTTAAGAAGATTGAAATCAGACTGAGTATTGTTTCTGACTACAATGGTATAACACTAGAAATCAACAACGAGAGGAAAGCTGGAAATTCTACAAATATGTGGAAATAAAAACAATGTGCTCCTGAGCAACCAATAGATCAAAGAAAGAATCAGAAGGGAAATAAAAAAAAAAACCTCAAAACAAATGAAAATGGAAACACACGTAACAAAATCTATGGGATGATGCAAAAGCAGTTTGAGAAGGAAGTTTATAGCAATAAACGCATACATTGAGAAACTAGAAATATCCCAAATAAACAACTAACTTTACACCTAAAGGAAACAGAAAAAGAAAACTAAGCCCAAAGTTAGCAGGAGGAAGGAAATAACAAAGATCAGAGAAGAAATAAATGAAATGGAAACCAGAAAAACAATAGAAAGAAAAATCAAGAAAATTAAGAGCTGGTTTATCAAAAAGGTAAACAAAATTGACAAATCTTTAGCTAGACTAAAGAAAAAAAGAGAGGACTCAGTAAAATCAGAAATGAAAGAGGAGACATTAAAACATACTACAGAAATAGAAGATCATAAGAGACTACTATTAAACAATCATATGCTAACTAATTGGACAACCTAGAAATGGATGAATTCCTAGAAACATACAACTACCAAGACTGAATCAGGAAGAAACAGAAAATCTGAACAGACTAATTACTAGCAAGGAGATTGAATCAGTAATCAAAACCTCTCAACACAGAAAAGCCCAGGGATATATGGCTTCACTGGTGAATTACACCAGTTAAAGAAGAATTAATGCTAATCCTTCTCAAACTCTTCCAAAAAACTGAAGAAAAGGGAACACTTCCAAACTAATTTTACAAGTCCAGCATTACCCTGATACCAAAGCCAGAAAAGGACACTACAAGCGAAGAAAACTAAACCAATATCCCAGATGAATATAGAGGCAAAAAAATCTCTACAGAATATTAGCAAACCAAATTCAACAACACATTAAAAGGATTTTACACCATGACCAAGTGGGATTTATGCCTGACATGCAAGGATTGTTCAATATATGCAAATAAAATGTGATACATTACATTAATAGAATGAAAGATAAAAATCACATGATCATCTCCATAGTCGCAGAAAAAGCATTTGACAAAATACATCCCTTTATGATAAAAACCAACAAATTGGGTATATAAGGAACATATCTCAACACAATAAAGGCCATATATGACAAATCAACAGCTAACATTATACTCAGCAGTGAAATATTGAAAGCTTTTCCTCAGTATGGTACTGGCATAAAAATAGACACATAAGACCAATGGAATGAATAGAGTCCAGAAATAAACCCCTGCATTTATGATCAACTAATATTTGACAAGGGAGCCAAAAACCCTCAATGGGGAAAGGATAGTTGCCTCAACAAATGTTGTTGGGAAAACTAGATAACCACACGCAGAAAAATGCAATTGGACCCCATCTTACACCACTCACAAAAATTAACTCAAGATGGATTAAAGATCAAACATAAGACCTGATACCATAAAACTCCTAGAAGAAAACATAGAGAAGAAGCTCCTTGACATTGGTCTTGGCAATGAATTTTTAGATGTGACACCAAGAGCACAGGCAATAAAAGCAAAAATTAACAAATGCAACTACATCAAACTAAAAAGCTTCTGCACAACAAAAGAAGAGAAGGCAACCTACGGAATGGGAGAAAATATTTGCAAACCGTATATCAGATCAGGTGTTAATGTCCAAAATATGTAAAGAACTCATACAACTCAATAACAAAACCAACAATCCTATTAAAAAATGGGCAGAGGAACTAAGACATTTTTCCAAAGCAGAAATCCAAATGGCCAACAGATACCTAAAAAGAAGCTCAACATCACTAATCATCAGGGAAATGTAAATCAAAACCACAATGAGATATTATATCACACATGTTAAATTGGCTATCGTCAAGAAGAGAAGAGATAATAAGTGGTAGCAAAGATGTAGAGAAAAGGAAAGCATCATATATTGTTGGTGGGAATGTAAATTGGCGTAGCCACTATGGAAAACAGTATGGAGGCTCCTCAAAAAATTAAAAATAGGCCTACCATATGATCTAGCAATCCACCTTTGGGTATACATTGAAGGAAATGAAAACAGGATATGGAAGAAATATCTGCATTCCCATGGTCATTGTAGCATTATTCACAATAGCTAAGATTTGGAAACAACCTAAATGTCTGTCAATGGATGAGTGGATAAAGAAGATGTGATATATATATATATATATACACACACACACAATGAAATATTGTTCAACCATGAGAAAGAAGGAAATCCTGTCATTCGTGAAAACGTGGATGGACCTTGCGGGCATTATGCTAAGTGAGACAAGACAGAAAGTGAAAGACAAATATTGTATGATATCACTTATAGAATCTAAAAAAGCCAAACTCCTATAATTACCAAGACAAAAAATAACAAATATTTGGAGAGGATGTGAGAAAAGGGAACCTCATACACTGCTGGTGGGAATACAAACTGGTGCAGCCACTAGGCAAAACAGTATAGAGATTTCTCAAAAAATTAAAAATAGAAATACTATATGATCCAGCTATCCCACTACTGGGTATTTATCCAAAGAACTTGAAATCAACAATTCAAAGACATTTATGTACCCCTATATTCATTGCAGCATTATTCACAATAGCCAAGATGTGGAAGCACCCCAAGTGCCCATCAACTGATGAATGGATAAAGAAGACATGATATGTATACATATGTATATAATAGAATACTACTCAGCCATAAAAAAAGACAAAATCATCCCATTTGCAACAACATGGATGAACCTTGAGAGTATGATGGTAAGTGAAATAAGCCAGACAGAGAAAGACAAATACCATATGATTTCACTCATACGTGGAAGATAAACAAACACATAGATAAAGAGAATAGCTTAGTGGTTACCACAGGGGGAGGGGTTGGGGGGTAGACGAAAGGGGTTAAGGAGCACATATGTATGGTGACAGATAAAAATTATAGACTATTGGAGGTGAGCACAATGCAGTCTATACAGAAACTGATATAAAATAAAGTACACCTGAAATTACTCAGTGTTATAAACCAATATGACCTGAATAAAGTAATTGAAAAAAAAAATAAAAAAGCCAAACTCATAAAAACAGAGGAATGGTGGTTACCAGGGGCCGGGAAGTGGGGGAACTGGAGAGATCCTGTTAAGGGTACAAACTTGTAATCAGTAGATAAATAAGTCCTGGAGATCTAATGCATAGCATAGTGATTATAGTCAACAATACTGTATTACATACTTTACAGTTGCCAAGAAACTAGATCTTAATTGCTCTCACCACAAAAGAGAAATGTAATTTTGTGACATGATAAAAATTTTAGCTGACACCACCGTGGTAATCATGTTGCAATACAGAAATGGATCAAATGAACATGTTCTACACCTTAAACTTATGATGTTGTATGTCCATTATATCTCAATAAAAAAAAATTAAAAAGCCCAAAAGAAGAAGCAACAATAGGTCAGAATACATTTTTGTCAAAGGCAGAAGTAGAAACTGTTCTGAAATATATACTTAGAAAAAAGGCATTTTCTGTCACACTAATTGTGATTTGGGGTGGAGGAAGACATTTTTTCTCAACCTTTGTTTTTTTTCCCTTGAATACTAACATATTATATTACATAATCTTTGTAAAAGGTTAAAAAGATTCAAAAGTCTATAATATAGACAGTAAATATGTCCCATAATACAATTCCTTTAGAATTTTGCCAGTTTTGCTCTATTGTCATGTAGTTTCCATCTTTTTGCTTATTGAGAGGTCTGAGGCCATTCTGATTTCTAATCCTTGTGAATATTGAGGATCACCAAGATGTTTAAAAGCAACTGATGCAGATTCTGAAGGTAATTTACAAAGAACAATTTCAAGTGCATATTGAATATTAGTAGCATAATTGAGCTAAGTGTATTTCAAAGTGACTCCTTTGGAAAAAAAAGTACTCATTGGATGGATGAACCATGATTCAGTGTATTTCCTCCTGGGCCTGCAATACCCTTAGGCCTATTGATGATTTCCTGACTTGCAATGAGAGGAAAATGTGGAGATCCAGGTTTGGAACCGCATTGTGCCATTTATGACAAGCTGGAAAAGAACTGAATTGATGAAATAAGACCTACAAATATAATTCTGATTTTTACAAATGGGTTTTCTTTATCATCTCTTGGACATATCATTACATCTTTCAAACCCAGGTCAAATGCTACCTGTTTGCTTATTTTTCAGGGAACACCTACTAAGTGCCAAGGTATCCATCTGGTGCAGAAGATCCAACAGAAAGTAGGGTATAAGTGGTCTCTATATCCATAGAACTTATCTTCCTTTATCTGTATTTATCTGATGGCACTCACCATGTTTTTGTCATTTGTGGACATGTCCTTCTCCTACTAGACAGTGAGTTGTTTGATGCTAGCCTCAGTTTACAACTTATTAATGTTTCCCTATGGCACTTATTTCAGTGCTTAACAGCTACAAATGATCAGTCAATGTGTGTTGAATCAATGAACTAATGACTTTTCCCAGCGTGCTTTGTTGGAGTAATCCAATAAGCTTCTCTCGTACTAAACTGGTAGAAATAAATGTCTTGGAGCCATATTAAGAAGCTGGCACCAAAGAAACCATTAAAATGGAATGACATTACAAAAATCAGCCTTAAATTTTTTTCCTTGGAATTATATAATACA